AACTTGTCAGAGATTAATTTATATTAACTTAAGTACGTTTTGTGAATAGGCCTAGCTACTGGTCTTTAGTGCACCATTTACTAAAAATCGGACGAAAATACATTTGGGAGCTATATCTAAATCTGAACCGATTTTCATGAAACTTCGCACACATTATTATAGACGCAATTCATTGCGCTATGCCAAATTTCGAGAAGGACATATATAGGGATTTTGTGCACCATTTACATAAAATCGAACGAAAATATATATGGGAGCTATATCTAAATCTGAACCGATTTTCAGGAGACTTCGCACACATTATTATAGACGAAATTCATTACGCTATGCCAAATTTTGTGCAAATCGAAGGACATATAGGGATTTTGTGCACCATTTACATAAAATCTGAACCGATGTTTCATTCTAGACCTAATTCATTACGCTGTGCCAAATTTCGCGCAAATCGAAAGATATTAAAGGACTTTGGTACACCATCTACCTTAAATCGGACAAATATATATATATATGGGGGCTATATCTAAATCTGAACCGATCTTCACGAAGCTTAGTACACACCATTCTAGACTTAATTCAGTAGGCTATACCAAAATTCGTGCAAATCGACTGATATATAGGGACTTTAGTGCACCATTTATATATAATAGGACGAAAATATATATGGGAGCTATATCTAAATCAGAACCGATTTTCACGAAACTTAGCACACGTCATTCTAGACTTAATTCTGTACGCTATGCCAAAATTCGTTCAAATCGAATGATTTTTAGCGTCTTTGGTGTATAATTTACCTAAAATCGGGCAAAACTATATATGGGAGCTATATCTAAATCTGAACCGATCTTCAAGAAACTTAGCACACATCATTCTAGTCTTAATTCAATAAGCTATACCAAAATTCGTGCAAATCGAAAGATATATAGGGAGTTTGGTGCACCAATTATCTTAAATCGGAGGAAACTGTATATGGGAGCTGTATCTAAATCTGAACCGATTTTAACTAAACTTCGCACACATCAGTCTGGACCTTATTCAAAATGTTGTGCCAATCGGACAAATATTGGGAGTTTGGTGCATCATTCACATAAAGTCGGACGACTATATATTTGGGAGCTATATCTAAATCTGAACCGATTTTCTCCAATTTCAATAGGGTTCGTCCCTGGGCCAAATGAGTGAACTGTGCCAAATTTCATCCAAATCGGATCATAACATGTGTAATCGGACAGACGGACATGGGTAAATCGACTCAGAAAATGATTCTATGCATATGCTCAAAAGGAACCATGGGTCTATCTCGTTTTCTTTTGCCTATTACAAACATATGCACAAAGACATAATACCCTGTACCACAGTGTGGTGAAGGATATAATAAAAATGATATTTCCCGCACGAGATTTTGGGAGAGGACAATTTCAAAACGACCATAAAATCTGTGCCTTACAATGTAGCTTAGAAAGCAAATTCGCGTGATAACTCCATATGTTCGGTAATTCCTACACGAAGTAATCAATATTGGCCCCGCTTTAGGTATAGCATCGAGACATTCGTTCAAATCGAATGATTTTTAGCGACTTTGGTGTATAATTTACCTAAAATCGGGCAAAACTATATATGGGAGCTATATCTAAATCTGAACCGATCTTCAAGAAACTTAGCACACATCATTCTAGTCTTAATTCAATAAGCTATACCAAAATTTCGTGCAAATCAAAAGATGTATAGGGAGTTGGGTGCACCAATTATCTTAAATCGGAGGAAACTGTATATGGGAGCTATATCTAAATCTGAACCGATTTTAACTAAACTTCTCACACATCAGTCTGGACCTTATTCAAAATGTTGTGCCAATCGGACAAATATTGGGAGTTTGGTGCATCATTCACATAAAGTCGGACGACTATATATATGGGAGCTATATATCTGAACCGATTTTACCTAAACTTCGCAGACATCAGTCTGGACCTTATTCAGAACTCTGTGCAAAATTTTGTCCCAATCGGACAAATATTGGGAGTTTGGTGCATCATTCACATAAAGTCGGACGACTATATATTTGGGAGCTATATCTAAATCTAAACCGATTTTCTCCAATTTCAATGGGGTTCGTCCTTGGGCCAAATGAGTGAACTGTGCCAAATTTCATCCAAATCGGATCATAACATGTGTAATCGGACAGACGGACATGGGTAAATAGACTCAGAAAATTATTCTTTGCATATGCTCAAAAGGAACCATGGGTCTATCTCGTTTTCTTTTGCCTATTACAAACATATGCACAAAGACATAATACCCTGTACCACAGTGTGGTGAAGGATATAATAAAAATTATATTTCCCGCACGAGATTTTGGGAGAGGACAATTTCAAAACGACCATAAAATCTGTGCCTTACGATGTAGCTTAGAAAGCAAATTCGCGTATAACTCCATATGTTCGGTAATTCCTACACGAAGTAATCAATATTGGCCCCGCTTTAGGTATAGCATCGAGACACGTGCGCCTACAATTTTTTTTTTCAAATTTTTATATTGTACGTTGGTGATTGCCTCATATAACTTTACCCACCAAATTGCAGTATTTTGAGGATTTTATACACATGTTCTACCCTACCATGCGTTGTCAACAACGGTCCACGTTTTGGGGTTTTGAAATTTTTGGAAAAATCTCCATTAAAAATTGCTGAAATTTGTATTTGGTGTACATTATGGTTTACAACAATCGCTTGGTGCAATTGTCGGTATATTTTTTATTTTGGAATGTCATCTCTATGTTCGGCCCGGCCGAACTTAATGCTTTTTCCTCAAATTGTTTTTTACTTATTATTTTTATACCCTACACAACTATGTTGTCAGGGTATTATAGCTTTGTGCAGCCCCAAGAGTTTGTAACGCCGCGAAATATTGGTCCTAGACCCACCGTTATGTATACCGATTGTCATATCTGAATCGATCTAGATATGTAACTCCGCGAAATATTGGTCCTAGACCCACCTTTAATTATACCGATGATCATATCTCGACTAGCTGAGTCGATCTAGATATGTGTGTCCGTCCGTTCGTCTGTCCATTATAATTTGGTAACTCGATACAGGCCACAGTTATGGACAAATCTTCGACATTTTGCATGTAGGATGGGTTCTGGCCAATGAAGATCCCTATTGTTTTTGGTAAAGATCGTTTAATATTTAGGGGATTAAATGGACTAAATACTTAATTTTTGTCCGTTCTTTTGATCGCTCCAGAGGCCGCAATTATGGCCTTGTACTCGGATGTGGGATATACGTTATTATTATCAGATATTATTTAGTAACCCATTGCCACACTAGAGGACAGAAATGTAGCGCTGATCGATTTGAAATTTTTCATGAGGTTATGGTCATGAGGTTTTTTTTTTTGAGTCGATCTATAGGCCTCAATTATAAGCCGAACATCACAACACAACTCACGTTGAAGGGAATCTGGAATTAGAAGAGCTGTACTGAATATTAGTAATATTCAGAATATATGTCAGTGTAAGGAAGAGGTGCAGTTGACCTCTAATCGTGCAAGAGGGTGCAAAGGGTGCATTGCCAAGGCTCGGAAAAAACATCCGCAGAAAGTTAGAGTTCCGTGGTAGTTGTTTAGGGTATCGTATGGTCCGTCCTACAATACTGCTCCACTCACTGGTTTATTTATATAATCAGGTACAAAAGATGTAATGTAAAAATATTTATGATATAGATATCATTATAAAACGATATTTCCTCACATCCGGACAAATATACAGGTGTTTTATCACTATAACCGAAGATGTACTTAAAGATAACTTAAAATTTATGTGCAAAATATTGAAATACGCATTGAAACTACTTTGTTTAGTTTGTTTCTATTGTTTCCACTTCTATTCTATTTGTAGTTCTAATCAGATTTTTAGGAGCACTTCTTGTATGTACCCAAAGTGATGTAGGGTATCATAAAGTCGGATCCGTTCGATTTTATAAATTTAAAAATTTAATTAGCACCTCATTAGACATAATAATTAAATAACGACAACCGCATATTAATGTCGATATCTTGTTTTATGTATGTTTCAGATTCTTAATCATTGGGTATTTATAACGATTTTACTAAACTTGCATAGATGCTAGAATACTACTTTCGCATACAGTAAATACTACTCTCCCCTGCCGTATTAAATTTTACTATATTTCTTCTACACGACCCAATCTAATGTATCTGTATGAGTTGTCGTCTGAGAACCGCATGTGGACTGATGCTCAGCGATGCGCGGGGCATATTCGCTATGTTATTATGATAATTTGAGTTTTCGATTCGCCTTTTTTGTTTCGTTTTTTTTGGCTATCTGTCTGCTCGCACAAACCACGTTCTGTCTAATGGGACTTTTAGCTATTTAGTCTGGCGCTTCACCATTCTTATTTGGCTGGCTGTGTGACGTCATTGTTTTGTACATCAATTCGACTTGGTTGGTCGGTCACTGTGTGTATATTCAGACAGTTTTTCGCCGTCACAACATAGACAAACAGACTAGACCATTTCCATTGTCGCTGTCATAGCCGTGATGGCATGGTTGGTAGCTGACGTGAACGTTGTCGTAAACGTCTCAGTTGTTTTACGTTTCTGACTAGACTGAATGTATTCTTCCATATATTTGGTTCGACTGTGGCTCTGAGCTCATCGCAGCAGTAGCAGAACGCTGAGACACAGCAGAAATCGTGAATCGGAGACCAGCAAAATATTGTCTGAGTGGCACACTCACTTCAGTTTGTAGATGAACAGCAAACGTGAAAGATTGAAAAAGTCTTTGAAACGTCAATCGCACGGTTAACCGGTTTTTCATCTTGTTTAAACGAAAATACGACTACTTTTTCAAGTATAATAGAATAATAGAAAAAATATATAAACGAAAATAAATAACTAATTAAAAAATAGCAAAAAACCAATTTAAATTAGAAAAAAAATATTGAAATAAATTGCCAAATAAATAGATATTAAAAAATCTGAAAAAATGGGTTGTGCCACTACGACAGTAAAAATTTCTTCAATCGTTTTCAACATAATTCTGGCGGTAAGTTTTCTGCGTCCAGCGAAACGGAAGGAAAATATCGGACAAACACTCACCCGAACACACAAATCAATATTTTTAGTGAAAATATTCAAGAACATCCGCATTTCTTAAAGAATTGTCACACGGCGAATGGACACCATTTCATTTGTGTAAAAAAGTTAATGAATAAATAATATTGAAATGTGAATTGAAAAATAATTGTATATAAGCCGTAACCGTATATAAATATATGTTGTTGTTATAATTGTGTTTAATTCAAAAGCAAATAATGGACGGTGGACTGAAAGTCATGAAATATTCAAAATTGTTAGAATTCAAAATGATTTACTTGTAAACAATATTTAAACTTGTGAAAATTTTACATTCGCCTAATATTTGTTGAAATATTCCGTGAAGGCCGGAGTTAAGTCTGAACTTTATTTGTGACCTTTTTAATAATTCCTAAACAAATTTATTATTATTGTATGTTACCATTATTATACAATAATGGTAACATACGAAATTTTCAAAATCGCTTATAATCGAGGTCCAGCCGAAACGGCTGGATTTGGGAAAATTCGTACTATAAGGGTTCGAAAAGTACTAAAATGACTACTTCCAATAATCAACGCCCAGATGAAACGGCCGAAACTAGAATCTTGAAATTTGTGTACGTAAGAGAACGTTAAGGCTGGATTTGGGGAAATTCGTACTATAAGGGCATGAAAAGTACCAAAAGGTACTTAACCTGACAATCAACCCCCCGACGAAACGACTTAAGCTAGAATTCTGAAAATTTGTGTGAGGTCAGTATTGACACATAGGTGTCTGTTAAGGCTGGGATTTGGGAAATTCCTACTATAAGGGTACGAACAGTATTAAAATGACTACTACAAAATGGTACGGAAAAGTATCAAAAATTATAGCACTCATATTGAATAATCAGGTAGGTCTAGAACTCTGAAATGTGTGATAAGGCTGTGTTTGGGAAAATTCGTACTATAAGTGTATGAAAATAGTACCGAAAAGTACTAAAAATGATAGCACTGATATTGAATGAACAAATAGATCTAGTGGATTATGGTTTCATAATGGAGCGTAAAGTAGAGGTACCAATGGGTTTTTGGAAAGTATAATACAAATTTTTGTTGATATTGGATAAACGAATAAACCTAGAATTTTGGTTGCAGAATACTAATTGTTTGTAGAGTACAGGGTTGAGTTTAGGAGTTGAATTTGTAAAATAGTTCTGAAAATGCAAAAAATTGTGCACGAAATTCTAAATTGTACTAATTTTTGTACAAATGATATTTATTGCATGAAATTAAGCTAGAATATACCAATTTGGAATAGAGATCTTGATAGAAGGATCGCTATTGTGAGGGTCTGAGATCTATAAGTGTATGATAATTTATTGAATCTTGAAAGCTTGAATCTTGGTATGGCGATCGTCATTAGAGTATAGATTTGAAATATGTTTACTGTATTTGACACTGGTAGCATTGGTAATTTTAGGTTTTATTTGGATCGCTATAGGAACGGCATGGGGATCCATATTTGTGTTTTGAATTAAAAGATGTTTTTTGAAATTCGTACTAAAAATGTAAAGAAGTATTAAATAATATGAAATTCGTAGCCATTATTTTTGATGGAACGAATAAATTGTGCAAACATTAGTAAATTTTGTGGACGAATATGACTAGAATACTTGTGTTTTGGATAAATGTAAAGAAGAACTAATGTAATGACTACCTCTGGTCAAATTTCCGCCTATATTTATTCATAACTTTGTCATCGTGTACTTCTCCGGCTTATATGATATTTACATTTTTTAATTGATCCTTTGTTTGATGAGGTACAAGAAGGACTGCACCTTCATTATAATACTAATGATCTGCATTGCAATATTTAAGATTGCTAATGCTGCTGAGATGTTAGGTATTGTAAATGGGATCCAAGTGTTGGTATAGCCCCCATATAACGGCACCTATATTTTCGGTAATTCGAAAGTATTAGCCTCATTTCCAACCGAAGTGACAGAAAATGCTCAAAACATATAACTCCATAGTTTTGCATTGCCCCCGTCCCGACTCATTATATGTATTCTTATGGTCTTCGGCGCATTTTCCACCGGTATTGGCGGCAATTTAGCATTATGGGGTCCATGTAGATAAAAAAAATTATATTTTCACAAGTAAAGGTTCCGGTTCATTTTCCTAATCGGAAAGTCTATTAGCCCCTTTAGGTGTAGGAAGTTTGTTCGGATTTAAAAATGTTATATACATTTAAACAAATGTGTTAGAATGCGAATATTTTTGCAATTAATGATTACAACACGATTAACTGATTCTCGCTATACTATTATACAAAGTGTTTTATGCCTGTGTACAATTTAAAATTATACATAATATTACGGAATTTAGCTGTACACATTATACGCAAGCGTACAAATTAAAGATATGATTATAATTTATTCCAATTACATTGTAAATATAATTACTCCTCAAAAACGCTCCATTATCTAAGTCTATTCCTATTCCACCACCCGTAAATTACTTTAAATATTTGTAAATGGAAATGGTGTTGAGTCATCTTATTTAGATTTGTTATTTTCAAAAAAGCGTAAAAAACTCAAAACGTAACATAATTCAGATTTAGATGACTCTGGGAGTGATGTCATATTTAAACAAAGCACCACACGATATAAACAACAAACAAACCTTCCAAACTTAATTGACAAAAAAAAATTCGCATTCGAGAAAAACAAGTCACTCAGGAAAGTGTGATTTCCAACTGGAACTAACGGAGAAGATTCGCATGAATTGAAGGCTGATATGTAGGTCAGACAGCAGGTGCGCTGATGACAATGCTGTATTCCTTCCTTTCAAAATATCTTTGTATTCTTTTGTTTTGCTATTCTGTTCATTTCTCACTGTGTGTGTGTGGGGGGACTTCACTTAATAAATAATTTATTTGGACATTTTCTGTGAATACACGGCGCCATATCCATATTGTCCATATACTACATATTTAGCCATGGAACTTTGTTGTCATTGTTGTGCGTGTGTATTGTATTAGAATAAAAATTGTGTATTTAATAAAATCTTGATAATAATTTCAAAATATCTTTGACAAGAAATGAAAGAAGAAAACAAAATAACAACAATTGAAATGTCCTTGTAATCCCTATAAACGAATTCGACAACAAGAAACCCAATTCAATTGATATGACGTGACTGATAATCTCCTAAATACACAAATACACACACACACATGTTTGCCAAAAGCCGCTTAACAATATTTGCATTCACATGTCTTTTTTTTTCGTCTGTTGCAAAAACTCACGAAATATAATCGTAAACCCATTTTCAATATCACCACACAATCGATATAAATGGCTATTACTAGCGTCATTAGAATTTCTGGCTGTATTGAAATTTGATTGTCTATCATTTACAGTAATTCTGTTGCCAATAAAATTGGAACTAAAAATATAACCGCCAGCACGATTGTTTGATGGAAAAAAGGAGAAAAAAAACATTTTTTTTAAATCGATCACACCCACAGTGAACATGAATATTGAATATTTCAATGTAACAATTACGATGAAGACTCATTGACAATACTAATTATATTCTTCTACCCTAAATAACTATACTGTTTGGTTAAGCCTAAAACTTTGTAAAACCACGAAATAGTGGTGATTGACAAATTATTAACACCACTGGTGGCTAGCACATGTTTGCCTCATCGGGCGGCGCGTACCACAGGTGGCTCACATATGATTATAATGACATGGGTGCGTATCACTAACAGTTTATTTTAAATGTTCATTTATATAATTTAAAAGTAAAAATAATAGAAATTGTATAAACTATTGCAATTGTAATTCAAATTTATAAACCACAAACATAAATAAATAGTTCGTATACCGTCATAAATCATAGAAGGGTAATAGAAGTTACTCTGGATTTATGCCGGTCATGCAGCAAATGAGCGATATGGAGTACATATACCTATCGTCACATATCGACCAGAGATGTCAAATTCAGTAACTTTGTTGTTCAAAATAGCACAGAGATACCCCCGCGACCATTTCAGTACCATCCCAATAATTCATTAAATCACGATAATTTTTTGAGTATAATATTATATTATTATCGAATAGTCAATTTGGCATCATCTGCTGCGTAAAAACATACTTTTTTATTTTTGTATAATGATTTTCGGCAAAAAAAGGTACTGGACATAATTTTAGGACAATCAATCTTCATGAGAAAGAATTAAAATTGGATTAGTCACATAATACCTGCATATTGCATTCCAATATTTTTGCCAAAAGCGATCATTATGCAACGGAATAAAATTTTTGTTTAGCTTTCACTTAAAAAAGGTACTCTTTTAGAACATTCATATTTTTTTATTTTCGATCCCTGATATGTCATCAACATTCCTTAGAGAGACCATTCCTCCACATTCAAACACTTCTGTCAAAATAATACCCCTATTGTTTTTGGTAATGATCATTGTTTTTGGTAATGATAAATATCAGTTATTTTTGTCTGTTTTTCTGGAGGTCCAAATCAACCAAAACCTAAACTGACGAAATTTTTATTTTATGGCGTCAATATTCACCTCGGGAAAACAAGATATTCCAGGGATTATATTTTCAAAATCTTGAGTAACCCGTATATGTACGATGTAAAGACTTTACATTAAATCGATTACTCCATATATACGCAAAGGACATTTTTTTAGTTGTGATAAATCGGCCTTCAAATACCGGCCATCTTCGCATAATATCTGAATTTGGTATAAAGCTATATTTTCAAAATCTTGAGTAACCCGTATATGTACGATGTAAAGACTTTACATTAAATCGATTACTCCATATAAAAAGATAAATGCTTAATACCATGCTTTCATGAAAATTCTTCATATTGGTAACAAAATTTAGCGAACGTTGTTGGAAAGAGTGACTAACATTTCCACCGGTATACTGTTATCCACTGAGTCGGATA